ATTACCTTGCATAAATGCTAATGAAGAATTATAAGGTTGTGAATCGGCTGTTGTTGTTGATGGAACTCGTAATGGTTGAATATTATTATTTAATCGAGATGATGAATACATTAGATTGTTATTAAATAAAATTGGAGGTTGAGAATGAAATAATGATGATGGTGATGTTAAATGAGATTGTATTTGATATTCTTCTGGTGGAGTTATTTTTTGATTTTCATTAGTACCAAATAATTTTTTAAGAATATCTTGTACTTCAGATGGATTTGATAGAAGTTCTTGAACTTGTTCTATAGGTGGTACTGAAACTCGTGGTGATGTTATTGAATTTATATCTGGTAATGGTGGTGGTGGTGGTGGCGGTGGAAGTGGAGGTGGTGGTGGATATGAAAAATAACATGTATTTTGATAATCATTCTAAATCAAGAGAATATTTTTTTCTTTTCATTCAGATTTAATATTGGGTTTGTTTTTGGTTAACTTACCGACTGTTCTGATTCGGTAGGTGATATTTTATTATTATTATTATTATTATTATTACTTTGTGAATCTTCATTTAATAATGATGGTAATGAATGAAAATCATTTGAAGATGAAATTTTAAATTTTTCATTATCATTACAATTTGAACTATTAGCAGTAGCTGCTGCAGCAGCAGCAGCACGTTTTCGTTTATTTGATAATTTTTCATGAATAATACCAAGTAAATGTTGTGCATGACGAGTATCACCTTGTTGTGTTAATTTCATTGCACGTTCAATCATTTGTTTAATAAGAATATCTTCATCACTTTCAGGTTCTATTGTTGTTTTATTTTCTTCATTTGATAAAACTATAGATTGAAATTGTTGTTGAGGAGTATTAGATGTTGATGAACTACTTGTATTTGATAATGTTGGTGAAAGAAGTGTCGATGATGAATATATTGTACTATTTGTAACACTTATATCATCAACACATTGATCAGCTGGTGTTGATGATGATGAATTAAGACGTTTACCAACATTTACAGCTGCCTGTAAAATAGAATATCATTTACAACAACAACAAAAAAATGACTACTGTTGCAATCGATATTGTCCATAGATATAATTAATTATGAGTGAAAATAGTATTGATTTATACATAAAACTTCTATCGAATATATATATATATAGTAAATATTAAAATTATTCAACAAGGTTTATTTTCTGCTACGGTAAGAGCTAGAAATAATTTAAATAGGAATTCGAATAGAGAAAAAATATCATTTTATTTAAACTATATAGAGCAAATAATTCTCCACAAAATAAGACATCTTCGAACTCTCTGCAATGTTTTTTTGACTGAAGTATAGCAATCTTACAGAAGCTCTCAAAGCCATTTTTTTCCCGACTTTCTATAAAAACAGTATTTGACCTTCAATCAAATTACTGTATCTTAACTAAAAAAACGTTGTAGAAAATTATTTATTCTATCATTCAAGGTACTGAAAAAAACCAGTCTTTTAGTTTTCTGAAGTTTCTGTCGTTGGAAATTTGATCATAATTTTTATTTCCTTATATTTCTTTTAGAAAGAATTTTTTCTATTTGAATTGTTTCTAGTATTTACGGCAAGGCAAAATAAACCTTGTTGAATAATTTTAATACACATTCTATATTGAATTCAATAGAAATTATTGTCATTTGGTCATTTCTTCGAATGTAGTAATAAATTAAAATCAACATATTCTTCTTATCATGAAATATAAGAACTCATATTAATCAAAAGAAATTTTTATTATTAATTTTAATAGAAATCTCTTTTTGTGAGACAAAGCTAACCTGAGCCATAGCACAAATAATTTGTTGCGTTGTTGGATCTAAATCAGGTTTAGCAAGTAATTGTCGAGCTGTTTCAGCAAATTCTTTTGCTTTTGGACCAGCATTTGCTAAAAATTCAGGATTTTCAATAAGTTGTGATAAAAGTTTTGATGGTGATTGTGAACTATTTGATGACGATGATCGTTGTCTTTTTGTTGGTGGTGATTGTAAAGCAGCTTCATCATCATCAATTTTACTATTATTAAATGATGATATTGATGGTACACGCTGTTTTGTTTCATCTTGTTTATCATATGCATGATGACGACGACGATGATGATGATGATGATGATGATGTGTATGAGATGAGTGTAATTCATCTTCATCGACATCATAAAACGATTTTTTATGACGATGTTTGCCCATATTACTACATTGAACAAAACAAAAAAACAAGTCAATCTAAAATAAAAAATATATAAGACAATTTAAATTTTTTTTTTGATCATCGATATTTGTTTATTATTATTATTTTTTTCTTTCAATGGTTTCATTATGCTACTTCATAATATTACTGCCATTTAAAAAAAAGTATTGATTCTCCAATCGGATAATTTATTTTGTATGATTTGAAATATTTTATTTTAATTATTATTTTATAAGTGATATTTTTTTTTATTTTGATGTTATTTATTAAATAGAATTTTAATTAATAAAATTGTCGCTAGTATCTATGACAATGACTCAATTGGATAATGCAATGATAGTTTTATTCAATTCATGGTCAGGAAATTTTATTACGGTATAAACTTCGAACTTTTAATTGACAGATAAAAAACTTTTTTACACAGGTTGTTATTATTATCTGTACATGCAGATCTTTTTTTATATAAAGCCTTTTTTTTTTTGCTTAGACAAAAAAGGAAATGTTTAATTCATGCAAATATTATTTGAAGTCCGATTCTTCCGGATTTTATTCTTAATCAATAATAAATTTTGATTCATAATGAAAGACAAATACATTGATTTGATGTTTGGATTATATTTTGTTATAAGTATGATGAAGTTTTATGATTGATGCTCCAACAAAGCTTTAAGCCTTTTCTTCACTGGAAAATTTAATATTGAATGAAAGAACTTAACTGATTGAAAATTTAATTCAAATTAACTTTAATTCAACAATCGAAAAAAGTAAATACAAATGAAAATGATGAAAAGTAGTTTCATAAAATTGCATGACATAAAATAATATTTCTATAGTGAAAAGAAAAATGATAATAAAATCAAAATAAGAAGTGAACGCTAATAATAATAAAGGTTATTATAATTAACTGATTTCCTGTCGAGATCAATACAACAGAACAATGACTATTGATTACGTGTTATATAGTCGATTTTGTTCTCAAACGTGGCGATATACGAAGATATTCATCGATAAGGATAAAATTTCGAAGTGTAGATTACTTCATTACCCATGAAACAAGACGAATTGTCGCTATTGTTAAGAAATAAAAGTAATATGATACTCTCTTATAATGGATGTAACTGTCGCCAACATTACATTCAGTTGTTACATCATCCTTCACATATAACTAACTCCATCGGATTTGAATAATTTTGATAAGACTCTATTGAATGTCACCGAAACCTTACTACCAAATTTCGGTAGCACGAATACTCGTTCTGAGTTCTTACTAATGTGGAAAATTATATTTTCATTTTCTATCGTGTGTCAACTTTCAATCGCTGCTTGTACAGAGATCTAAGTCGAAATAATAAAGATTCCAATTCTCACTCTATTCCAATAGTCAATCAATAGATTACCATCCAAGATCATGTGTACTTGGATAGATCTATTGTATCAATCGAAATACTTATCCTATTTGATACACTCTCAACATGTGTAGCTAATATGACATTTTGTGTACCACCACCTTTATGGAATACTAATCAACAAATATTGCAATACACATGTGTGTATCAATAACAGAAATATCTTCAAGTTAAGAATGAACTCCAACATTGTCTATGAGTGAAACTGCTGAATCGAAAAATAATTTCGTAGAATATGCTTTAATATTGAATATGAGTAAAAATGTTAGCTATACTTATTTCTACAAGAACTAGTTCGTACCATAAAAAGATATTATCTGATTTCTTTAAAATAGTGCTTTGACGTATGTTCGATCAGAAAATGACTAAGATAAGTTTAAATAATTGAATTTTTTTTTGTTCAGCAGTTTTTGATTGTGTTCATAATGAGGTTGAAACAAATGTCTACTGTTACAGTTGGTTATTACATTAAAAAAGTCGAACAATATCCTGACTATCGTCTTCTAAAAATAATATAGTTTCGTTTATTGAAGAAGTTCTTTAGCAGTTTCTTTGCATAAAAAACAAGTGTTATACATGGAACCGTGATTACTTGTATAGTATACTATAAAACATTTTGTGACTATCTTTTAGTCAACCGAAGAAAACATTTATCAAAAGCTCGTTACGAAGACTGAGAATGAAGAAAATCGTGAGTGTTTTTTTTTATTGTATAGATTTAGAAAAATAGAAACGTAATAAAAATTAGTTCGCAGATGAAACAACTATTTTTATCAGTGCTTTGAATGATTTTTATATTAATTTGATGACATGTGAATAAAAAAAAAAATATACCAAAATATCATTCAATGCTACAGCAACTTAATCAACTGGTTGTTTCCAAGAATCATAATAGGTGCTGATGTAAAGGCACAACTAAGAAAAAAATAGAAAGAACAAGAAACAAAGAGACACTAACCCGTTATCATTGCAATACTTCAATCAAATAGATCATTTCGGCAAGCAAAAATATTTTTCTTTTACACATTTTATTTATTTCGATGACTAGATGATCTACCATTTCATAATGAGAATTCTTATGCTTAATTCAAAATCTCTTTACATCCGTTATTATTCTCAGTATATAAAACTGATAACAAATAGTGATGAAAATTCATTTGAACTGAAGATGAGAAAGATTTCTTATGACATTTTATCCAAATAATCAACAGTTATATGACGGTGGAATATTCAAAATTTACCATGAAGCACTCTAAAACTTTATAAAATCAGTATTGTTTTTCCTTGTCTAAACTATTATAAATATAGAGAAGTTTTTACATGAAAAAATACAACAAGATAGCAAGAAATGAAACCTTCTGTTGATGAAAGAGGCCAACGACAAGAAAGAGTATAATAAGTTCTATTACCTCAATAACGGATCTAGAACTTTGGTGCATGAGAGTGATTATAGTTGCAAAACGTGTTTTCAAGTCAAATTAGAAATCGTAGTGGTTCGTTTTTCAGCATTTTCTGCGGAGAAAAATCGAAAAATAGCTCGGAAGAAAGGGACGATTATCTCTCTCTAAATGCGCTATTGCATTATCTATCTCATCTAGAGTGGAGATTGTCCCACCCTGTGCAAAGTCCTGATATATATGTGTCATTCATTGATATTGTTATATAAATAGAATCTATAATGTATTTCTTGGAAATATATTTCCCGAGTTTGACACGTATATAACTGATTAAGACAGAAAAAGATTTTAAAAAATTCATGTTTAGTACATATCGTTCAACATGAAAGAGTCTAAAAATTAGATTCTTTGCATTGTATGAGACAATCCGATGAGAGTTTTAATGTTTTTTTTTTGAGTGTTACAAACGTAAAATAATTGACACATAACGAGTTCATTGTTGAATATGGTTCCCCATTGACTCTTCTCCAATTTTTTAGAAGTGAGAAACGAAATATTTCATTTTGCAAGTATGCATTATACATATGCATTTCGCCTACATTATATAGAGGCACAATCTTTCTTTTTATTGGCGCAATAACTACTTCGTAAAGACGTATGCCTATTTTATTCGACAATAATACCACCTTACCTTAATATGTCAGTAAAGATAAGGTCTTATCTAATGATTGATTCTATTACACTAGGGATTAAATAGCTTTATGGATAAAATTAGCTTTTATATAAATTTCTTTTTCCTTCGGTGATTGATTGGAATGTTCATCTGTTACAAATATTTTTTCTTAAAATCAAGGCTTTTTATATATTATTTTTGTTGCATATTAAGCGAGCTTCTTTTCTTTTGCATAAGTCTATATGTTTCATGTGCAGTAATCAGAAAGAAAATTACTCTTTTGTGCTTTAGTTATAGTCGCCAAGGCTTCTATTTGTCGGCTTTTGTTATTATCTATAAAAAAAAACAATCACTTGTAAAAAAAAAAGGAAGAAAAAAAAACTTTTGCGACTAAGTTTTTCTTTCACTGTTGTGTGGTATGAGAATCGTACCGTCTGTTGTTCGTTATTTTTTTTTTGTTCTTCTTCTACTTTTACATGCACCTGTATTAACTTTATTCAAGAATATTCATTTCTTTTTTAGATCATCATGTATATACATCATCATTGTCTTTCTTTTTTAATAATATTAATCTATTCATCTTACATTGTTTGTCAACGTTCATCACCATTAAAAGTTGAAAAAGATGCAGCTGTCTATGAATTACTTGAAAAATATCATCATTTTACTGAATTAGATCGTCTTTTACAACAATGGGGAAAAAATTATACAAAAATTGCTCAAATATTAAATATTGGTAGAAGTGTTACTGGTCGAAGTTTATTTGTTATGCATCTTACATTACCACTTGTTACTGATATTGAAAAAGAACAAGATGAAAAACAATTATTAAAACCAAAATTTAAATATGTTGCAAACATGCATGGTGATGAAACTATAGGTCGTGAAATGATGATAGCATTAATATATTATTTATTATTAAATTCAAAATCTGATACACGTATTAATCGTTTATTATCAACAACAGATATTTATATAATGCCTAGTATGAATCCGGTAAATAAAAATAAAACAAAAAAGAAAAAAAAAAATTTTTTTTTTTAATATTTAATTGTAAAACATAGGATGGTTTTGAAAGTTCTACAGAAGGTTTATGTGATAGTGGTAAAATTTATGGTCGAGGTAATGCAAATAATGTTGATCTTAATAGAAATTTTCCATCACAATTTAAACCACTTAAACCATTAACAAATGGTACAATGACAGATATTTTTTATCAAAGACAACCAGAAACAATTGCTCTTATGAAATGGATATTAAAAGAAAATTTTGTTCTTAGTGCTAATTTACATGGTGGTTCACTTGTTGCTTCATATCCATATGATGAAACAATTCATCATACTGATCGTACATATGGACAATCACCAGATGATTCATTATTTCGATATTTAGCACGAATTTATGCTAATAAACATTTAACAATGAGTAAAGGTAAAAGAAAAAAAAGAAAATTATTCTTTTTCTCGTTCTTTTTTTTTTTTGTTTTGATTAATTAGGTGAAGGTTGTGCTGCTGAATTTTCTG